AACAACCTCTCATTAATTCTCCCATGTCTGTGTGGAACAGCGTTCTTATACGCTCCTCTGTGGCTGCTCATTAATAGTGAACTCGTGGCTCCTGAGTATTTCACTTCTCTGCTTCTGGTTTCTCTTATTTATGGATTTGTTGTTTCTTTAAAACTCCAACAACAACATTTTCTGGTCAGATGTTCAACAAATTACGTTTTTTTTTTTCCTCTCTGAACACCCACCACTTCAAAAGGTTTTCACCACAACATTTTAATTTGTGTGGGTGAGGCCTGGGTGACCTCAGTCAGAGGGCAGTTGTGTTGAGGTCAAGCAGGGCTAGCTGAGCCTCCAGCTGCTTGTTGTGCTCTGGTAGATCAACCAAGGACTTAGTTCTTACACACGGAGATGACACGGATTAAAAATGAAATCAAGAATTTGATTTGTGGACAATGTTGTCACTGGATCTGATTTAATACGTTTGAATAAATTCTACTAATATTACATAAACATACATGGATTTTGTTACACATTTTGTAACATTTTAAGGCCCTATAAAAAAGAAAAAGAAATTAACAACACTTTGTATAACACAGCCCACATTTGACAGATTTAATTTTGCTGCTGTGAACACCGTATTCATTTCAGCATTATATGAAGAAACAGATACAAAAAATATCAAATGTATCAAACATATTGTATAAATATAAGTACTCCTATGGTCTGGAGCAGCAGTATTAGTATAATAAGTGTTAGTATAATTAGTATAAGTGTTTTAAATACACTTATATCTTCTTTTTTTTAATTCATTCTGCTTTGACTTCAGAGTCAAAACACCAAACCCTCCAGGAAAACATAGTTAAAAAAAATATTAAAGTTGTATACAAAACACTTTTCATTCTGTAAACATTATGGTCTTGTATCTGCGAAGGCTTTTAGACAGAGCCGGCGGAACCTGAGGAATGTTGATAAAACATTTGTGAAAACAGTAAGTCCGGACGGTGCGGCGTGGGAGGAGGACGTCCAAAGTGCAGCACAGTTTTAAACTCTTCTTGTTAATATTTGGAAGTTGTTGTGTTTTCATGAGCTCTGAGTCAGGGCAGTTATCAAACTGGCTGAAAGCTTTGCACCCAAAATGCATTTCAATCTGTGTTACATAACCCTGTGTTTAATGATAAAAAACAAGTCGTTGACTCGTATTTTCAGGGCCAAAAAAAAAAAAAGAAAAAAAAAGAGAGTGCTCCCACAGAGGCACTGTAAACCACAGAACATCAGTGCGATTCCACCACAGTTGGACAAACACAGACAATTTTGAAATTGAAATTAATTTACTGAGCAATTATTTTTACGGTAATTAAAAAAAATGAAGACGTTAATTAAGACTTTTTTTTTTCAACATTTAACATGGTAACCTTTACCGAGGTTTACCAGGTAACTAGTGCAGGTGATGACGTCCTTCACCCGGTCCTCATCCTCACTGACCTCCAGGGTGAGTCACTGAGGTGTGTGTAGGTTGTTGAGTGGGTGACGGAAATGGTCTGTTGGTGGAGGAGGTGTCAGTGAGTCGGCTCGTTTTTTGTGCCACCGATGTGCTGGTCTCTACGTATGTCTCTCTCTCTCTCTCTCTCTATCTCTCCTTTTCTCTGTCTTTGTGTGTGTGTGTGTGTGTGTGTGTGTTATTTACCAATTCCCCTGGCTTATTAATACAGGCTGGATATAATTAGCCAGGCTTTATCAAAAGCAGGTCAGTCCATGTCTTGGTTCTCTAAGTGGGTCACTGCAGCACACGGAGGAGAGGAGAGGAGACGAGGAGGAGGAAGAGGAAGAGGAAGAGGGGAGAAACAAAAGGACAGAGATAATAGGAAAAGCTGAGCTGAGGTCCAGGTCCAGACGTGTTGGATGCTGTGACGGCTGTTTTTTGGCAAATTTGAAACAAAGATTGACTAAAAGGGAGCAACAGTCACGACATGTAAACGATGTTAAAACCAGAATGAAGCAGAAGAAACTGTTGACCCTGGGGTGAGTCGGAACGCTGTGGAGTCCAGTGTAGGTTTGGTTTTTGTGAGAGACATTCACAGTTTTCACCACGAAGAACTTGATAAAAATGATCTCCATTTACGTTAGTAATGCACGTTCATTGGAGATTTTTAATTAAATTAAATTGTTTTAACTTTTTTTTAATTTTAATTTTAGTGTATAAAGTGTTGTTGTCGCTGCAGTAACAGCAGCGTGACCAGCAGGGTGATGTGTTTTCATGCAGCAGTTCAGAATAACACTGGGTAATAGACTGTGAGGTCACTAAAAGTCTCAGTCTCAGGAGTGGAGTCCGTGGTCACATGACCCACACGGCGTCATAATGGACTTATTGATCGAAACATTGTTTTAAGGTGTGACTGGTGAAACACAACTGCGTTTGTGTGTGTGTTAGACATCGTTGGGGGAGTCGGGGTAGGGGTGAGAAAACTCAGCTTTTGGAAGTGTTGGAGGAAGGAGGGGATAAAGGAAAGGTTAAAGGTTTGAACCCCAGGGTCAAGTTTATGATCTCAACAAAATCAACTCCAAACCACCACATTATCAACAAAATCAACTCCAAACCACCACAAAAAGATTTGACATATTTATCTTTCGACTGGCAAAGTTCTCCCTTTTTTTTAACCTCTCTTTCCATTGCATTCATGTTTAAACTTCCTGTTCTTTGTATTTCATCAGCGACTGAGGAAGGGCAGGGGAAGCGTCAAGTTTCCTGCCTCTGCGCTCGTTCTTTGACTTGGCATCAGACCCAGAGATGAGTCGAGAGCAGAGACCACCCAGTTCACGGCCCTCCCAACTCATTGTACTAACTCCGTGTTGATACAGTCACCCGTTATAGTTCACTGAACACCGTTTGACTCCTTCAAAGTTTCACTTGGATCAGATTTTACAGTGAAATGAGACCTGAGTCATTTATTTTACCATTTCTATTTTGAAGTCACATCTTGTCAAAGGCTCCAGAATTGCCTCAGCTTGCATCACATTGTGAGTTTCAGATATTTCAGTCTGATTGCTTGAGCTGCGGGATATGTAACAAGCTCTACATACAGCCAATAGAGGGCGCTCTTCCTGGCAGGTCTGCTTTTTGCAGCTGCACCTTTTTCAAACCTCTGAACACCTTCAGATTTCTGTTTCGTTGAAATGTTAGTGTTAACAGCAGGACTAGAGACAGTCATTAATGGTAATCGTCGCTACACAGGACTCTGAGTCTCCCAGGCCCGATGACATCACAGCGAACGCCGCAGCATCCGTATTCCCTTTCATTTCACAGTTGTTTTTCTTTGGTAGCAGACAGAGAGCGTGTGTGTTTGGAGGTGCGTGGCCTCTGCAGGAAACTGTGCCCCTGTAATAATAATCCTATTTTAATCTGCCTCCTGAGGTTACATGTCCTGGATTATCAAATATTAAGAAAGCTGCAGGGGAGGGCAGCTGAGACGGTCACAATCACGATGACTCAGAGAGCATTCGCTCGTTTTAGTGCTGATGCTGAAGTTAATTTGATGTTGTTTTTAAATATTTAATCTAATAATTTATTAATGTAACTACTGACGTGAGAAAACACCGAACTAAATGCTTAATAATGTTATATTTGGTCAGAGACGGCGACTCAGAGGAGAAAAGGTCCTACAGTGTCAGCCTGAGCTCCGAGGGTTTTCAGTTTATGACAAAGTAACTACATATATGTCTCTGTATTTAAAGAAATATATTTTGGTTTGAGAGTCTCTTCAAAGCTGTGGTTCCCTGACCTTTTTTTGGCTTGTGACCCCATTTTGACATCACAAATTTCTGGCAGCCACAGAGACATTTTAGTCGCTTGTGCAGTCACATGATCAATTTATATTCATGAAAATGAAAGAAAACAGTTGTTTACAAGTGCGTTTGGTCATCATAGGTTTAAGAAAAATAAATAGTAAATTGTTTTTATCAGTAATCTATTTTTTTAATGAATTAAGAGACATTTCACGCAACCCTATGTGGGGGCGCGACCCCAAGGTTGAAAAACACTGAATTAGTCAGTGAATAGATAAATAAAAGATTTTTTTTCTTTATTCCTGATATTTAAAGTCTGAAAAAAAATTCTAAGTAAAATTCTCTGCATGTTGTTTTTACAGATTTTTTCTTCTTTTTTTTCTTATGTTAAGCAAATTAATATTTTGTGATGTTTTTAAATCCAGGTTTAAGTGAATTTTTAAGGGTTTTACAAATTTTTTATAGCTTTTTATTTTTCCCGTAAAAAAGTTGTCAGTAGAGACAACTGCTTCAGTGTCAGTGGGCCGTGCGATGAGGACGACGACGGTTAGTTTGTGTGTTTACAGCACATACATACAGCCTGGACATCACTGTGGTGTTGCACACGGGTGACATTATCTGTGGCTCTTAAAAACAAAGCTGAAGTACAACAGATCGCTCCGTTCCGTCCCGGTGCCAAAGCGATGACGAGGACCAGATTCCTCGGGCCTGTTGCCCAAATTAGATCAGACCAATCTGGAGAAAGTGTTCAGAGACTCACGTAAATGGATGTGGAGGGAAAAGAGAGAGAGAGAGAGAGAGAGATACTGCCAACATTAAATCATCAGATTAGGAAATAATTAGTTGTCAGAGATATCAGTCAGTCTTTGATGTGATTGGGTGAATTTATGAGCCTGTTCAGGGACTGGGTTTGTCCTATGAGACGGGGGGGAGGAGGGGAGACAAATAATTCTGCCTTGGCGTAGTGATGCAGCAGCAGCAGCAGCTCACATCTGTTCTGTCAGAGTGAGATTACTTACTGACTGTCTTTTTTTCACTCACAGGAAAAGATGTCGCTTCATTAATCATCCTACTAACAGTTATGCAATTATCGATCCAAAAATGTGTAAAATTGTCAACTGCACGTTGACAGCCTGTGTAAACAACAGACATGCATGAGCACCGACTGTTACTGTCTGTGAGCCGCGGTGCAGCCGCTGCTTCTCTTTCTCACTTTATCTTTTCCCTTTTTCCTGCTGCAGAGGAAGGCGAGTACTTCCTGAAGGTTTTGATTCCCAGCTATGCGGCCGGTTCGATCATCGGGAAGGGAGGCCAGACCATCGTCCAGCTGCAGAAAGAGACTGGAGCCACAATCAAACTGTCCAAATCCAAAGACTTCTACCCTGGTAAGAGTCGGCCGGGTCACCGCTGGTGGATGGATGGATGGATGGATGAATGGATGGATGGACAGATGGGTGGATGGATGGATGAATGGGTGGATGGATGGACGGATGAAAAATCTCATCTGTGTTCTCATGTTCTCTGTATTTGTCACACTCATCTCTGTTCTCATGTTCTCTGTATTTGTCACAAAGCAGACGCTCTTAATCAAACTGTACACACCGTATATTATGGGATGGCTCAGCTCTGTCTCCACAGACTGATGCTTCAGTGTTTGAATCCATCAGTACTGTAAGACATTTCATTATCTCATCCATCAATTTTTCATGATGTTAAAATCACAGACATGGGAAACACATGGACAGAAGCTGATGATGAAACGGGTGCAGTGTAGAAACATACACAGTAACGACTTCCACTGCTGTTTGACACTGACGGTGGTTACACATCATTCTCCGTGTGGTCTGTGCGGTGAGTGGTCGTTACACAGACGATGACGTAAGGATTAGAAATGATAAATTCTATTTGTTCAGACTCCTAATCCTGTCCTGATGTGACGTTTAACATGGAAACAGGACGGGAGGCTTTGGCTGCACGTGGTCTGCTGAGCTGCTGAATGAGTGGACCTGCATGTATGAGCTGCAAATGTGAGGCAGGTTTGCTGTAAAGGGTTTAAAAAAAACCCAAAACACATTATATTTAAAAACGCTGGGGAAAAGAAAACACTTTCAGAGCCGTGTGAAAACCGTGGGAAACAGGTTTTTGATGAGTTACAGCCGTGCTCCTGATTATCATGTTTAACCTGATTAAACAGTGTAGTAGAGATGACACAATCAGCATCTCAGGTCAGGAAGACTCCAGTCAGAGTTGGCGCTATTTATAGAACAGATCGCAGTCTTTGCCACAGCGGTGGAAGCTGGAACGGTGGCAGACAAATGGTTTTGGCAGCAGTTTGGCCGGTGTCAGGAGGAGGCAGTGAGAAAAAGGCTGGTGTGGAAATAGACAGCTCAGGACTGGGAAGGAGCAGCGGCTGTGTTTTCACTCACTTAATGATCGGCCGCTGTGCTCAGTTCATTCAGAGTATGGGTTGGAATATTTTATTTCTAATAATCCATAAATGGCCGTGCTGATGTGAGAGGACGGACGGTGGCTGCTGTGAGTCCTGCAGTGTGTGATGTAACGGTGCGTGGTCGTGAGGGTGGGAGTATGTTGACACACGCTGACACTTACACAACATCGCGGATCAAAGAGGGTATTAGAATTACAATTGGTACCACAAGTATTACACCCACAACCACGAGGGGACCGCACTTTTCTGTCGGCTCTCTGAGCACCGACAGGGTTCAGTGAAGGTGGTTGTCAAGGAAAACCCGGCGAAGATGAGGTTTTTCCTGGCTTAACCACGACGACGGCCCCTCGTCCAGCTCAGCCAAGTACTTCATGTTCTCCAAACAAGCACAGCGTTGGCGATTATTAGGGTTTTTACGGTATTTTAAGCACACTGTATATACTACAAGAAGACGGCAAAATATCTCGTAATAATATAAATATTTATATAAATCAAATATAAATAAGTGAGATATATATAAAAAATATAATATAATATTATTTTAACAGTAGAGTCAGACTCACTCCTGTCTTCGTCCCTGATGTTCAAACACCTCCAAACTGCTGATGTCGTCGATCTACTAAAATAAACTACCCATGAGAGCGAAGAGACGTTTAATGCAGTCGGAAAACACACGATCACTAACTGACCCGGTGAGCAACTGGTTATGGTGAAAAGCTGATGTGACCAGTATCTCCATCTTTACTCCTGGTACTATTGTTGTGACGTTAAAACATCCATTTAATTAAAGGTCGTTTTAACGAGACTAACATTTTACCCTGATGATGACATGTATTAGTAAATATCCTTTCAAATATTCTTCCTAAAATATTTAAAATATCAGTATTTGAAATACCAAATTTTTTTTTAGATTCAACATGGATTAAATTCAGTATAAATGTAAATATAGATTCAATTCAAGATTCTCCTCCTGCCCTGCTGTGTGACTGTATTTCATAATTTATAACCGTAATATTTAAAAATATAAATGTGTATACATATTTGGGTATTCTTTACTATAATATTTTCACATATTACATATTAGTATTATCTCCGAAAAATAAAATCCACCACGTTCAGAATTCCTCCAAGACACAAATGAACCCCTGGTGGTGAGATCGCAGCAACACGCTGACAGTGAAACAACGCGTCAGCAATCCCACAGAACAGAACATTGTTGTGGCTCCTGTGGAGCCTCTGATATAACCACTACCTCCCAGACGATCACAGCTTGAAGTTTCTCCAGCTCTGTTAGAAAGAGCTGCTCTTAAATATGTCTCCTCGTCCCAGGTTTTGGCGTTGGAGTTGAAATTCTGTGACTGTGTCGGGACACAACGTGGCTGCTGCTGAGAGTTAACCCTTTGTTTGGGTTTTTGGTGCCAACGTGCTGCAGTTTTTGCCATAAAATGTCAAATAAAATCTTAATAAAGACACTGTTTATGGATGAAGTTTTCACGATTCTGGTCGTAGAATCAACTGTTAATGATGAGACACTGCTTTGACTGAGGTACAAAGTAAAAGTCACTTTGATTTTTGGTGAAAACCAGAAGCATGAATTCAGTGTGACGTGTTGTGGAACATTCAGGAACACTGGGAAAACACTGTAAGAAATCAGTTCTGCATTCCTGGCTTTTTTAATATCTCCCTAATTTTTGTTCTCCCTCCCTCCCTCTCTCTCTCCCTCCCCCTCTCCCTCTCTGTGCGTTGGAAGCCGTCACACCTTACATCTGTTCTGGTTGGCAGAGATCTCAGTCTTGTGTGTCGGTGTTGAACAACAGCCGCCTGTTTGCAGACTGCAGCTCCAGCCCTGCACTGATCAACACATTCATAAAGTCTTTAAGAGTCTTTATGGTGATAACCATAAACCATAAACCTAACCTGGTGGTCGGTGGTGTAACTGCAGTCCTAGACCCCCTAATATAACACCTAATAATAAGTCAATAACATTCTTCTTAATGAAAACTGAAAACGATTTGTTGATTAATCTAAGAAAGTTAGTAAAAAACTTAAAAACTCTTACATTTGGTTACGAAGTCACGCTTTGCATTTTTGTTTTTTACTTTTTTTTTGTTTTCTATACTGGTTTGGACTGAACCATGAGATGTTCAGATGTTGAATTTTTATTTTGCCCTCTTCCATTCAGAACTAAATCAACTGAAAAACTGAAACTGAATTTTTTGTTTTGTTTTGTAATTGACAGCTGCAGCTCTCATCTAAACTGTGACAAAAATTGGGTTTCCCCTCATTGGGACCAGTTTTTTTTTTATTCATGTTAAATCACATTCTGAGACATTCAGTCGTTATATTAGAGATATATATGTAAAAAAAAAAAATTTAAAAATCACCAAAACAGAACTGAAAACACATAGATGAAGAAAGACAGAACTGAAGAGAAGTACGGAGGAGAAAAGAAAGAAAGGGAGGCTGTATGAGTCTGAGGGAGAGAACTGAAGGAGGTGTGTGTGTCTGTGTGTGTCTGTGTGTGTGTGTGTGTGTGTGTGTGTGTGCAGTCTTCCTCTGCGCTGAAGGGGGCATCTGTATGCAAATGAGACACGGTTCTTCCTGGGTGACAAATCAAAAGGCCCACCTGCTGCAGGGCCCTGAGTGTGTGTGTGTGTGTGTGTGTGTGTGTGTGTGTGTGTGTGTGCTTTGGGAATAACAGGACCAGTCTAATAAGCAGAGCAGAGTTACTGCAGTGTCTTGGCTTCGTCTCAGTCTCATTCCTCTCTTTTCACTCCTCTGAAGACATTAGTTGGCCTCCTTTCCTCCCCAGTCCTCCCCCACACTTCCACCCCACCACACACACACACACACACACACACACACACATGCACAGACACACACACACTCATCTCAGCTGTCAAAGAAAACCCGTCAGGGAAAGAAAAAAATGAAAAGAAAAAAAATCGATGTCTTCTGTTTAGTGTTAAAAGTTTGATTCACTAATTAAAAATAAAAATAGTTCTTGGCTGGAGTTCAGTGTCGGCTGAAATAATCAACTCCAAAAACATCTTTTCACACATTGACCCCATGTTGATGACGTGGTCACTGAAGTGCATTTCAAGGATTTTACATGAGAAAAAAAAGGGAAAATAAATCCACAGCTTTCTTCACATAAAACCTCCGTTTCACTGATTGTGAAAGAGAGAGATTTCAGAAAGTGACTCCACCGTCTGTTAGCAATTGAGAAAAAAAGGAAAAAAAAAAACTGCACCGTGGTGTTGAGAGATTTTGTCCAAAGAGTTAAGGCAGCATTTAAAACATTCCAAGATGTGATCTGTGGATAAGAAAATAAAAATGTTCTCGTCAGATGTTAGAATTTGGAGTAACTGTCCAGAATGAGATCATCCTCCGAAAGAGAGAGAGAGAGAGAGAAAGAGAGAGAGAGAGAGCCTCAGGTTTCTGCACGTATGTTCTTTATCATAAAGCTGAAGTGGCGTTTGGCAGTGGTGCAGTCAGTGAAGGATGTTGGCAAAAAAAAAAAAAATCTGTTGGAGGATCTGCTGGATGCTGCTGACTGGGAGTCGGGTTCTTCCTCTTAATCCGTGAATTCAAATAGTGATTTTACGCTTTCAAGTCCAGGCAATCGTTTCATTCAAAGGAAATTAAATTGTGCGGAGAGCGAGTGCTGCGTGGAGAAACAAAAGAGGTTCTTAGCACGGAGCTAAAAACAGAGGCTTCACTGAAAAACAAATCAGGATTTTCTGAAAATCTATGGACTCCTCCATGTTTTATTCAATTTTCTATCAACCCTCTCTGCTTTAAACCAGATTATTACCTCTGTCCAAGGGTATGACCTTGTCCTACTCGGCTCTCCTGTCCTCAGTCCACATTCCCCTGCTCTCCTTCCTTCCTCTTCCTCTCTCGTCTCCTCCTTTACCTCCTTCCCAGACCTCA